CACCAGCCACTCCTCGGAAGGAAGGTTGGGCAATCTACTTCCATAGTGATACTGCCTTGGCAACCCAAGGAGGGGTCGCTATGAGTCAGGTTTGACTGGACAGCACATAACAACAACAACAACAACATTATTCAAGGAGTGCTGGAGGCACTGTGCCAGAGGCATCTGACTGCTAATCAGAAGGTTGACTGTTCAAACCCACCAGCCACTCTGTGGACAAAAGACAGGGCAATCTACTTCCACAAAGATTCACCAATCTTGGAAACATAATGGGGGTTGCTATGAGTCAGAATCAACTCGATGGCAGTGGGCTTTTTGGTTTTGATACCTGTTACTCAGGTGACACTTTTCACAATGTGTCACCACTCTCATTATTTCCATTCTGGTGATTCTGTTTCCATTAATCTAGCTTCCCAGTCCCCCTTACCTTCTCATCTTTGGTTTTGGGTAAATGTTGATCCTCAAGTCTCATTTGGAAGACTGTGTAGAGAAGTCCCCCTGGACAGTGAACCCAACTGGCCATCTCCCAGAGGGTTTGCCACAAACCCACCAGACTGCCCCTTCACTCTCCTGCAACCTCTTCCTCACTCCCCAGGGCCCCTGGCTCCACTCCAGACCACTCCTTTAGTCTGGAATTCAGCAGTGAAGTGGATATTTATTTTATGAGCCGTTCAGTCTTTTGACTGATAGGTGGCCACTGGAGTGCTGAGTTTCAAGCTTACAAGGTATCCCAGGAGAACAGTCTTGGGGCCTCATACAGATCCAGTAAGTCTGGCATTTTTACAGGAATGTGTTTTGTTCTACTTTCTTTTCCCCCATTCTATGTGGGACCATTTGTTGTGATCCTGGTCAGAATGGTCGGTAGTGGTGGCTGGGCACCATCTAGTTCTTCTGGTCTCAGAGTGGATGAGATAGTGGTTCTTCACTAATAGTGTGGAGACTATAGTCCAGCAGACAGTTCCTTCTTTGAGAGCACTGGCACTTTTTAAAACCCAGCTCTCTGTCCCCATTTTAAGACCCTGACGCAAATCACCCAACTTACACCTAATTCTCCAGCCTGAACCCTGACGAGCTGGGCTCATCACCACATGATGAAAACTGCAAGTGGTTTCATTACTTACAGCAACAGCACAACCCGGGCTACCTTACTTAATGTCTCATGACCCCTTTGCTAGTCCTTTCTTTTAAACATTGAAGGCAAAGCCCAGGGCCACAGCTTAAAGCAGACAGGAAGGGGAAGAAGGATAAAGCGGATGGGGGAGCCAATCAGTCAGGAAGAGAGAAACAGGAAGCTGTCATGATCAGTCCATCAGAGGCGAGGGGCTCTGTTTTACCTATGGGACAGCAGCTCAGTTCAGGAAACACTTGGCGCTGACTTCCTACTGAAAGGTGTTGCTGCTACTGTCCAGGACAACTCTAAGTCGCAGCAGACAAAATCCAAGCCCACTGACGTCAAGTTGATTCTGACACATGCTGACCCCAGGTGCTTCAGAGAAGAACTGTCCCACAGGGCTTTCTGGGCTGTGATCTTTCCTGCCTCAGGGTGGGTTCCAACGGCCAATATATCGGTTAGTGGTACAGAACAAACCTACCATGCTACCCACGTGGTGTTACAACTGAACAGACTCCCTCTAAAATACGTGTGGTGAATCCTCACCTTTCTCCCTGCGATTAGGAGCCCTGGGGGGCAGTGCTGAGAGCGTTTGGCTGCTAACTGAAAGGCTGGCAGTTCGAACTGACAATCGTGCTGCAGAAGAAAGACCTGAGGACCTGTCTCAGAAAAGATGATGGTCTTGGGAACCCCGTGGGGTGGTTGCACTCTGTCCTATAGGAACGCTGAGAGTCAGGGCCCACTGGAGGGCAAGGCTTGGTGTTTGGTTTTTATACCTATGATTACAATCCCATTTGGGAATGGGTTGCTATGTTAATGCAGCATGTGGAGTATGTTTTAAGTCAATTTCTTTTGAGACACAAAGAGATTAAACAAGCGAGTGAGTGGGCAGAGACGGGGCATGAGAGACGCCAAGCCACGGGATGATCACCCGGGAGCAGAAGCTCAGAGACATGGACCAGCCTCCAGAGTCGACAGCGAGAAAGCCTTTCCCTACAGCCGGCACCCAGGATTCAGGTTTCTAGCCTCCTAACCTGTGAGAAAACAGGTTTCTGTTTGTTAAAGCCACCCCTTGTGGTATTTCTGTTACAGCAACACTGGAGAACTAAGACAGTGGGACACGGGTCACTTCAATAAAGTGGGGTAAACGCTACGAGAAGCCGCCGGCGATGATGATGATGATGGCAGTGATAAAAACAGCAACGACAACGGGTGTCAGGGGAACACACGGAAGACAGAACGTGGCTAGTGAGGTCGGGGTACACTTCGGGGAAGGGAATGACGCACCCGTGTCTGAAGGAGAGCCTTCCTCAGCAGCCCGCTCCTATCAGGCGACTGGAGAAGCACGGAGCCCTGGCTGATGACACCCTGGGGGCCATCTTCTAGATGGGGGCTGGCAGACTATGGTTCCCGGGCCACAACTGGCTGCTACCTGAGTTTGTAAATAAGGTTTTATTGAAACACAGCCCCATCCATTTATTTGCCCATTTCTAGGGCTGCTTTCGCACCACGTGGTGGAGTTGAGTGGTTGTCGCAGAAACCACATGGCCTGCTAAGCTCGAAAATACTTACCATCTGTCCTTTCCCAGAAAGAGTCTGCTGACCTTGCCATTGGATTGGCTGACAAAATCAGCCTCTTTTTTTTGACTCTGAAGGAGCCCTGGTGGTGTAGTGCTTAAGGCATCTGCCTACTAACTTAAGAGCAGCAGAGCTTTGAACTCACCCATGGAAGAAAGATGGGGCAGTCTGCTTCTGTAAAGATTTGCAGCCTTTGGAAACCCAGTGTGGGTCCCTAGAGTCAGAATTGACTCAATGGCAGTGAGTGTGATTTGGTTTGAGTGGTTCTCAAAGGAACCCTGGTGGCACAGTGGTGAAGCACTCAGCTGCGCAGTGAAGGGCGGGCAGCTTGAACCCACCAGCCGTTCTGGGAGAAAGACGAGGCAGTCCACTTCTGTAAAGATTACAGCCTTGCAAACCGCATGGTGCAGTTCTACTCTGTCTCGTAGGGGCGCTGTGAGTCGGAAACGACTTGAGGGCAGTGGGGAAGTAAATGCTTCTTAAGGTTTGATGGACTTACCACCTCTCTCTCTTACAGCTTTCTGCTCCCTTACTGTTACCAAAACTCGTGAAAAGAGAAAACACACACATCCCTTATTAAAAAGGGGTTTCATGACTAAAGAACATTCGAAACACCTCTCAACCCAATAAGACAAGCGGCTTTTGCTTGCTGGTTAACATATAATACAATGATGTTTGGAAGCAAGAACTGAATTCGGAATGCTAACTTGGCAGCTTTACGTACCAAAGTTCCTAAGTTTTAAAACCTAGGTTAAGCTCAGCACTTAAGCACTGTGCCACCAGGGCTCCTCCGTGGGTGTTACAGGGCTCGCAGTCCCCGACGTCCCCCCTGCCACCATTCTGTCCCCGAGAAGCTCACCTTTGACGTCGTTCAAGCTCGCCTCGGGAAACCCTTCGCTCAGGTCGATCAGGGCCCCCTCGGATTTGCACCGGGGGAGCCCACTGGAGTTGGCTGCTCGGATCCGCTGGGCTGCCATCGTGAACGCTCTTCCTGGTGAAGTGGCTACGCTTCCATAGTTCCTCCTGCAGGGACTCGGCGATGGCTGAAGCTTCCGTCTCAGGCAGCCAAGCTTCACTGTGGTGTTAACTTCGCAACACGGTTCTTCCTAGAAGCAGGAGGGAAAACGCATTTCCTTTGAGCGAGGGCAGCAGGGGTTAAACGGGGATCTTACCGGCGGCGGGAATCCTCTTCCCCAGAGGATGGTCCACAGTGGGCCCCTCTCTGAGGTGGGAGGCGCTCCCTCCGGACCCCCGCCCACTCCGTGCCCACTGCCCAGCACCCTGAGCACACAGCTTGGCAGTGTTTCCCGGCCTGGTGTCTGCATCCGTGCTTCCTGGGGTACGATGGGGTTTGTGAAGTTGTTCTAGCACCTGGGCAGCCCATTCATTACAGTCAGAGAGGAGGACAGAACAGGATTTGTCCAGAGCTCACTGCCAGTTCTGGGTTCAGGAAAATCAGGCTTCATCTCCGTGGGTAAAGGCTGGTCTCCCTGGAGGGAAACTTTGACCCTGGCCCATGGGAGCAGCTCTCAGCACAGCGCCTCTTTCATGGCACTGGTGCAAAGGGGTCTGGGGGTCTGTCCCAACACCACCATGCTCCCTGCCCCCAGTGCCCTTCAGGCCCCCTGAAGCCCAAACACACCCCCAATAATACGTAAGTTACACAAGGGACCATCCTGAGAGATGAGGTCTTCTTGACATGACTTCTGCCCAGGAAGCCCTGACAGGCTCAGAAAGTGCACCAGAGACAGCTCACGCCCCGCCCCCTGGCCAAGGCCTCAGCTTTTTCTTGGAGAAGCGCACAGGGCTGAGGCATGGTGGGGTTCTGGGGGTGATGGGAGGTCCTGGTGGTGCAGATGGCCAACGTACTCAGCTGCTGACCCCAAGGTTGGAGGGCAGTCCACTCAGGTGCCTCAGAAGAAAGGCCTGGCTACCTGCTTCCCAAAAGTCAGCGCTGAGAACCCCAGAGAACGTGGTTCACCCTGACACACGTGGGGACAACAAGCGTCAGGACCGGCACCTCGGCAACTGGTTTCTGGTTTGCAGAGGAACAAGCTGCTGCCCCTGAGCAGGCGATTCACGGAAACAGAACAGCCGAGAGGTGACTTCAAAGCTGTGACTTCAGAGGCTCGCGACAGAGATCGGGCGGTGGGCGCCCCAGCTGGCCCTGCGCCCCTTGGCGCCGCGCGCAGCCTGCAGGCAAGATGTGAGCCCCGGAAATGCACTTCTGGTCCCGCTATTCTGCCCTTCCTGGAGGTCTAAGTCTGAGACAGCGACTGCTTCAGCAGTCCTTCACAGAGACGCGAATCAAGGAGGATTCCCAAGAACACCACAACAGACGCCAGAACAGACAGACCTGTCCTGGAGGAAGTGCAGCCAGAATGCTTCTGAGACGCGAGAATGGCCAGACTTTCTTACTTACTGTGTCACGTGGTCCGAAGGGGGATCATGCTTGGGAAAGTAGCGGGTCAGTAAAAAATGGGAAGACCCTAAAAGAGATGTATTGACACGGAGGCTGCAACGGTGGGCTCAGGTATAGTGAGGACTGTGAGGCTGGCGCAGGACCAGGCGGTGTTTCTTTCACTCTGTGGCACAGAGTCGCTGTGAGTCAGAGCTGACTCACAGCACCTAACAACAACAGCATAGAGCCGTGGTCCTTTAAAAGACCCAGCCACCCTCGGGGGTTCCATTCAAGGCACAGACAAGTCGTGTGCGGCCCTGCCCTCTCCCGAGGCACTGGGGTCCCAGCCGGTGACCAGCGGGCGTGGGCTTCATTTGGGCGTCAGCTCACCGTTCACTCTCTTCCCTGGGGGAGGGGGCTTTTTGTCCATTTCTGTCGTCCATGCCTACAGGCCCCTCCTAAAGGGCCACTGGGGACAGTCCTGGGACAGCCACCAGTCACAGCGTGTGCAAGCGAGGATGCCGCCTGAGCCCCTGGGCACCTCTGTTCAGTGACGGAGGACAGGGTGAGCAGGCAGCCTCCACTGGGCCCGTGCCCAGCAGGGACCCTCCTCCGAAGTCCCCTGACAAGATGCCGTCGGGGCCCTGCTGTGGGCAACACTGCTCCTCTAAGCCAGAGCTGGCACACAGCAAGAATGCCACCCAGTGCCCCGCAGAGCTGTCCCTTCCTTCCCTGTGGGACGTCTGGCCCTCGGCCCTCCATCCTCCCCACCCCAGGCTCCTTCCTCTCCACCTTCCGAGGCCTGGCTTTCCCTATAGTAGCTTCCTCTCCCCCCCTCCTCCTGTTCCTCCTCCTCCTCCTCACAGCCCGGGCTGCTCTGGGCATGACCTTCAAATCCTTCTCCTGCTGGGAAGACCCCTCTGCCTCCACCTCTTCTCTTCTGCACACCTCTCACAGGTGGGCGCCTCCTTTCCATAGGCCAAGTTCTTGGCTGCTAACTGAATGGCTGCTGGTTCAAACCCACGGAGAGGCACCTCAGAAGACAGGCCTGGTGATCTCCTTCTGAAAGGTCCCAGCCTTGGAAACCCTGTGGGGCACTTCTCTGCACACGTGGGCTCGTTGAGGCAGACTCGACTTCACTGACAACCACCACCACCCAGTAACCGTGAACCTGACTTTGGTTGGAAATAGGGTCTTTGCAGACGTTATCAGGTAACATGAGGTCACACCAGAGTTGGGTGGGTCCTAATCCTATCTGAGCTGGGAGAGTCACAGAGTAGAGAGGACCACGGGGAAGAGGCCTCCACAAAGCTGAGAGCCACCAAAGAATGCCTGGGGTGACCCAAGGTGGGGGAGAGCCGGAAGGAGCTCCCTGCAGAGAGAGTATGCCTGGCCCTATGATGCCCTGAATCCAGGCTCCCAGACCTAAGGAACAAATGTGTGCTGTTTAAAGCCACCCACTGCACAGTACTTTTGTTACGGCAGCTCTAGGCAACTGCTAAGGAACCTTGGTGGCACAACGGTTAAGCACTCAGCTAGTGTATACCCACCGAAAAGCTCTGCAGGAGAAAAACCCTGGCAGTCAGCTCCTGCAAAGTCTAGGAAACTCTACGGAGACTTGACTCTGTCACATGGGGCTGCTGTGAGTGGGACTCGACCCTCGACCGGATGGTACACAACAGCCAACTCACACAGCTCCTGCTGCCTTCACCCCAGGGCAGCTGCCCGCGTCCACCTGAACTAGCAGTGGTCAGGGTCAGTCGCAGACCTTTCCCACGCTCCACGCCGTCAGACGTGATCCCATTCGACTCTCCTGCCAGCCCCGTGAGGCAGGCTCCAGGTGAGGCCACTTCCCAGGTACACACACAAGCAGCCAGCCGCAGTCGGCCTGGCGGAATGCTCTGCCCCCCGCCCCATCTCAGTCCAAACCCACAGAGCTCAACATACCCGATACCGGCAGCTGTCGCGCACCGATCCTTCCCGCCACCCGCTCCTTAAAGTCCCTAAAGCAGTTTCTGCCAGTTAGGACACTCCCCGGGCTCCCAAGGCTCCTGGTGTTACTCACTGCTTCTACACAGCAGAGTGCCAACTCCCCAGCCCGCATCCCAGCCCCCCCCCCCACCTGGCTGTCACCTGCACCTGCAGGTGTGCCACTTCCCTCCGCCCCCCAGGGAATCAATGCCCACATTGTTAGCTCGCTACCTCTCCAACATGCCCACACTTTCCAGCTTCTGCGGTTTTTATCCAACGGGTCCTGGAACACCCTTCCGCTCACCCTCACCTTGGCCTCCAGGAACGCCCAGGTCTGTCTTCCCGCCCTGGGTAGCCCCACCCTCCTCCCCCAGCGCTTCAAGCCCTAGACTGACTCACAGAGGCAGGCCTAGGGCCGGCAGTGCCCATGTCCCGGAGCCTCAAATTCAAGTGCCTGGAGTTCAAACTCCATGCCCCGTGAGTCAGGTCCTCTTTCCCTTGTTAGAGAAGCTATGTGGGGTAGCAGACACGATGCTCTGGCTTGCTTCGTAACAAGTTCACAAAGGCTCCCCCTGCTCACGCGAGTGATTGGAAATGGCCGTGACAAACAGCACGTGCTGTTTTATGGTGGTGGGAAATTCGGCTATTGGGTATGGCTGTACCAATATGATTAATGGAACTGGTGTCACTAAATGGTGCCCGAGAAAGATCCTGAATTGGCAAATGTTGTGCTCTGTGTATCTTTGTTTGTTGTAGTTGTTAGGTGACGTCAAGTCACTTCCAACATGGAGCGACCCTATGTACACAGAACGAAATCCTGCTGCAAACAATACAAAAAAGCACTGAACCCCCAATGCTTCCCGGGAAAGCAGGGAAATACTTAACTACCACAGTGAAACTAGCAGGTCTCAGCATTCACTTCTCTAAGGACATTCCCACTGAAGAACTCCTGGTGAAGCCTCCACCTTCTGCTTCCAGCAAGTGGACGTTCATGATCGCCTGCTACCCTACAGGCTGGCGGTTCAAACCCACCCAGCGACTCCATGGAAGAAAGGCCTGATGCCCTGCTTCTGAACTTCCGTACAGACTACCGCCAAGAAGTCCCTGTAGAACACTGTTCCACTCGGACACATGGGGGTGGCCATGAGTTAGAACAGGCTTGAGGCTGGAGACAGACAAAGTGAGCTAGGGTGCCTGCAGACACTACACTCGTACAGCTACCCTTGAGCGTCAGAGAGCAGGCCACAGGCAGGCCCTAGCAAGGGTTCCACGTGCAGGGCGTCCCTGCTTTATGCCAGGGCTCGTCCTGACGGCTCTGTCCTAAGTTGGCTGTGACGTAAGTGGAATCCCTTTTTGTTTTCATTTTCATTCTTACCGCCTTTATTGTTGGTATCTTTATAAATCTGATCTTTGAACACCTGTGAGTGACCATCTGTGAATGACATCCACGAATTATGTGCTGGAACACTGTACGCAGTAGATATTATCAACAATCAAACACAAACAAAAACAAACTACAGATGGTCCTAAGTGTGGTTCCTGGTAATGTGAATGTGTCATAAATCTGGTACTATCTGTACTGGGAGGTGTAACAAGTTAATGATA